GTCCTTTCTCTTGTTGATGTGATGCATTACATTCAGAGAGGGTCAGCTGTTAATTGTCAATGCTGTCAAAATCAACTCAGCATGAGTCTTCTGTAGACTAGGTTTATAACCCAGCTGCGCTTCTGTCTTGTTATGTTTCATCCTTGCTGTTACTAGGGTGACTTGGGTGAGGGCTGGGACCAGGAGACGGCATTTGATTGATTAGTGGTTTGCAGTCATACTCTAATTGGCTGGTGGATGGCACACCATTTTGTGGAATAAAAATCCCTGCTACATCTTGCAGCTTGTACCATTCTAAACAACAGGATCTAGAGGCAGATTATCTGCTATTGGATCTATGCACTTTTAAGATTCGGGATGGATAGTGTCTAGACTCAGGGTAACCTGGTCATACATAACCTTGGCAATGTGAGTGCTTCTTCCCTTTCCTATCACCACGGAGTCATGCTTTCATTTTATCCTAAAACAAAACAAAACAAAACAAAACAAAAAACACTCATAGGTGTTCATAAGTAACCTCAATTGCATGTGGTCAGTCCTTCATTTCCAATGGATTTGCACAGGAGCTTGAGAACGGTTGTATCCATTACAGTTCTTTAGATGTTATCCATAGCAACTAAACATAACAACTAAAGCTTTAAAAGAAACGTATTTGGAAAGATATTATGAAAGTCACAAAATAGAAAAGAAGGACCTATAACTAGGTCTAGGAGCAGGAAAAAGCCAAGCCAGGAGCTATTCTACCATCAGAACTCTGGATGCTGTTAGAAACAAGGTTCAACTCTTTTTTCTTTTTTCCTTCAGCCACTCAACGCCTTCTCAGATATATGGGGTGGTGAGAGGAAGGATCTGGAAGAAGGCACCTCCAGGGCGCCTTCATCTTCCATAGTAAAAAGGCTGGGCACTCTAATCTAAATCCTAGTAAAATTGCACACAACTCAGGAAAGTGTAACAGCCCAAGAAAAAAGTCTAGTACTATTAAAAAGGAAGAGTGAATGTGAGCAAGCAAAAGCAACAAATATCCATTACCATGGAGGAAGGGCCTCCATTTTCAGGGGAATGTACTCAAAGACATGGGCATAAAAAGGAGATCAGCATTATCGATCAAATGCAAAAAGAACACTGCCAGAAAGATCTTGAGAGAGAATAAACAGAGGCTTTCTGAGCAATAAATTGGGAATGATTTTAAAATCAAAGAATAAATGTATTAATTAAGAAATAGTCTAAGCTGCTGTAGCAATGAGACACTAAAATATAGTGGGTTAAATAAAAGTTCATTTTCACTCATAGAACAATTTAGAGGTAAATAGTCCAAAGTTGTCATCTTCAACATAAAGCATCCATTTCTGGGTTTAAGGTGGCTGCTCTGGTTCCTGCCATCAAATCTGCATCTAGCCAGTGGGGAGGCAGAATGAGTTAGGGGAACATACCTTTTAGGGAGGATGCCTTTTACGATCATAAGCCAGAATACATACTTACCACTTTCAGTTACATCCTATTGGTTACAAATTAATTGGTAGTCCATGCCTAACTGCAGAGAAGGCTGGGAAATAAAGTTTCTACTTGGGCAACCCTCCAGAAACCTCATAAGATCTATTATTAAGGGAAGAAGGGCAGAGTGGATGCTGAGACAACCAGCAGTATCTGTCACAATGACAATGACAAGTTCTAAGGAGGCTGTAGAGCAACAGAAACTCTCTTATGCTATTGATGGGAGTACAAATGCGTACAGTACTTAAATAGTAATTTGAGAATATCTGATGCAACTGAAGATATACAATGCCTTATAACATAATTTTACTTCTAAGTATGTATCTTGGACTAAAGATACTTTTATACATATATACAAAGAGGTATGTAAAAGAACAAAGCCCTGTTTTAAGAGTAAAAATTGGAAACAATTTAAATGATCATCTATATGAGCATGGATAAACAAATTGTTTAAATATTTCAAAATCATACAGCAATTAAGGTGAGTGAACTAAATCTAAAACTAACATGGATGAATCTCACAAACATAACTCAGAAAAAAGCGACACTTGGAAAAGACTATATATATCGGATATACACCCCAAAGAATTCGAAGCAGAAACTTGAACAGATTCTTGTACACCTGTGTTCACAGCAGCATTATTCACAATGGCCAAAAGGTGGAAGTAACCCAAGTGCCCATCAACAGATGACTGGCTAAATAAAATGTTGTGTATACATACAATGGAATATTATTCAACTTTAAAAGGAAGGAAATTCTGATACATGTTACAACATGGATGACTCTCGAACATTAAGCCAAGTGAAATAAGCTAGTCAAAAAGGACAAATACAGTATGATTCTACTTACAAAAGGTACCTAGAGTGGTCAAATTCATGGAGACAAGAAATGGAATCATGATGATGGAGATTGGAGGTAGGGAGGAATTAGAAGTTATTGTTTGATGAGTACAGAGTTTCAGTTTTAGAAAATAAAAAAAATTGGAGTTGGATGGTAGTGAGGGTTGCATGACAATGTGAATGTACTTAATGCCACTGAACTATACAGTTAAAAATGGTTAAAATGATAAGTTTTATGTTATGTATATTTTACTACTAAAAGACTATATACAGCATGTTTTCATTTATAGGCAGCTCAAAAGCATACACATTACAAACATATCGTTAAGGTACACAAGTAATGGGTGAAACTATAATGAAAACCAAGAGGATGACAAACACAAAATCCAGGAGAGTGGTTACCTCAGAGGAGAAGTGTTGTTGAGAGAAGGAATGTAATCAGAGAGGATTAGATAGAAAGTTTCAAAATTATGGATAATATTCTTTTCTTTAATCAGGTTATCAGTGTAAGGGTGTTCATTTTAGTAATATTCCTTATAGCTCAAATATACTCTATGTATATTTATACTCATGTATACTCTATATGTAATTTTTTATAGATCTGCATACATTATACAGTATTTAATACAATCAAAAGTATACATTTAAATACACATATATAGTTAAATATTAACATAAATGTCTACCTTTAAATGTATGAAGTATTACATATTTTACATGGGAAAATTAAAGGAGAATTAAGAAATATTAAAGTGGGTTACTTCAGGAAAACTACTGTTCAGACAATTTTTCTAGACTGAAACATAGCTCCAACTTGTATAGTTCCACCTTAAACAACAGGTTTGAGTGTTTGAGAATGAGGTGTAGTGAATACTACTGTTTCCCTTCAGGACATTCATTTCCTTCTTTCTTCCATCTTGATAAAATCCCAATTTTGTTCAAGTGTCCACATCTCTCTTTACATATCCCATGTCACTGAGAAAAAGCTGACCATCGCCAGCTCCAAGAGTAGATCCTGAGTAGTTTAAGTCAATCACGGTGATATCCCTTTGCCTTTTATTGGTTCAGATATTCTGTCTTAACATAATCAGCACGTGGCATTTCTTAGGCCAAAGATTGGCATCTGCCCAAAGTTGGCACAATCATGCTGAAGAGAAGGATTTATATTACATCGTTTGGGGAAGAGAATCTCTTTATCACCAATAGATATGAACAAGGGGCATGTTGTTCCAACTGCTGTTTACAGCCAACTGGGGGCTTTGATGACAAGTCATCAAAGGGGGAATGTCAAACTGAGAGAGATACAGCTTCAGCCCTGATTGTGCTGTGCATAGAGCTGCACTACCTTTGAATTCCGTTATTTGAGATGCATTTCCTTACTGTTTAAGGTAGACTGAGTTAGGATTTCTGCTACTTGCACTAGAAGCATCCTAACTGAAACCTGGAGATGCATTCTAAGGATACATACAGTAACAGGAATCTCAGAAACACAGTTGGGCCCCTTGGAAATGCAGGAACCCCACTTGGCCCTTTGAAGAAGGGCTACATACGTAGGTCACAGAGGGATTGGAATATAGTTTAGGAACTGGCTGCCCTTAGGTCTCAATGTAGACCTAGCTGTCACTCTCTCAGCATTAGTAAGTTCTTGATTAGGACTCTGCCATCTTGGTACTCTTGTGTTAGGTGCACCCCAGCTTTTCTTTGTGTATGGTTTCTACTCTTGCTATAGCTGTTCAACAATCCATGTCTTGAGATCTAAATTCCTTAAAGAGAGGATCTATTTCCTTAGGACAGTCCATCTTATGAGCTCCCTGCCAATTTATAGATAACATGTTTGTGGGTAAGATGCCCTGCCTTTGACTCAGTTAACAGGATTCAAGTTCGTTAATTATGAAGTACCAATTTGGCAATTTATATGGAAGGCAATTGGCCTTTGGGTGTGCTATTAATGCTAGGTTTCTGTTCAGTACACAGATGGATGAATCACTGAACAATTTAGGCTCAAAGTTCTCTCATCATGTCATTTTCAAAATCTTTATCCACAATTAGTACCCAAAATGCAACATTAGCCCTTATATTTGCAGGAATAGTACTATTTCTGGTATCTTGTTCTAATTACCTATCTCAATCTTTTATTTCTATAGCCCTCTCACTTCCTAATTTTTAATATATCTGTTAATCAACCTTCTTGAACCTCCTGTCCCTTGACTCCCTTTCCCCAGTTCGACACTCCACTCATGATTTCACTTTCCTATCAATTCTTTTCTACTAGTTCTGGAACCTAGGTTATACCATTTCACCCTCTCTTGCATTCATCCTCAACTCTTTGCTCTACTGTTGTGCTTGCTGTGTAAATTCCCAACTACAGCTCATTCCACCTATCTGCTTCCTTTTGTTAAATGGTTCTGAAGAAATTACATGACACAACTGGTGCCACTAACTCACTCAGGTTCTTCGATCCTGCCTGGGTTTTCAATGTTACTTTGCCATCATTTTATATGTCACTGGCCTCTCCCATTCACTACAGTAACAATTTCAATCCTTCACCACTACCCCAAGCCTTGTTCCTCAATAAATGGCCTTGGTTACAACATCACAGAGATTGTTGAGACTGGTAGGCACAAACTCCTTCAACATCTGCTCACATATCTACACACTAATCTTTACTTGCAGCCTCCTCTGCCTCCTATCCACCAGTTTCAGAGTGGCTCTTCTGTCCCAAGTTAATCCTGGCCTTTATGCTCTAGATTCCATCTCTTGACGCTACTGTTAGTTATCTTTTCTTTCTACTGTATGTCTCACTGATCTTATTTTTTTCACCAAATTTTTTATTTTGAAAAATACCAAACCTATGGAAAAGTTGTAAGAATGTGTAAACAAACACCCTATACTCTTCATCTAGGCATATTTGTTAATATTTTGCTACATTCTCTCTCTCCTTCCCTCTCTTTCATCCATCTATCTACCTACCTATCTGCTTTCCCCAAACCATTAAACAGTTACTTTAAGATACTGTGATCCTTCACACCTAAACATTCAGCATGTATTTCCTAGGAATGTGGGTATTCTTACCAGCAACTACAACATTCGTGCTAAGGAAGTTTAACATAAGTATAATTATATTATTTAACAATCAGCCCATTATTTAAATTTCCTCAGTTGTCCCAATAATATCCTTTATAGTTTCTAATTTTTTTTAAATTCAGAGTCCAATCAAGATCACACATGGTATTTAGTTGTCATGTCTAGTTAGTCTCCTTTGATATAAAACAGTTCTCCAGCCTTTTTTTTCCTTTCATGACACTGACATTTTTTAAGAATCCAAGCGAACCATTTTGCAGAATGTCCCTCAATTTTGGATTTGACAGTTTCCTCATAATTAGATTTAGGTAAAACATTTTTTTTAATTTGGGGGGACAAAAATACAAATAAGTAATGTCTCCTTCTATACCTCACACCATGATGTACATTATGTCAGTTTGTCCTATCAATAGTGATACCAAATTTGATCATTTGGTTAAGGCAGTGTTTGCCAAATTTCTCTATTGTAAAGGTATATATAATAGTCTGTGGAGGAATGAGGCTCTGAAAACATCTTGTTCCCTACAGCTTTTCACCAACGATTCTGCCAACCACTGATGATCCTTGCCCGAGTCAGTTATTACAATGGTCACTGTAAATGATTTTGTATTTCTATCATTCCTCTACATTTAGCAGTTGTAATATTCCTATACAAAAAAAGCTCTCCATCTCTCCCATTTTGTTTATTCTTACTATCTTATGGACATGTTTATTCTTAATATCTTATGGACATATGGATTTCTTAAAATTAAAAATCAGTGTGTATCAACATGTACACACTATAAATTTACAGTTATATATCAAATATATATCAATAAAAAATAAACATGTGATAATTCACTACCATCATTATTAATTTTGATCCTTAAATTGTCTCAAATTTGGCTAACATGAGCCTTTTCCAGCTGGTTCCTGTTTCTTTTGGCAAATCCCCATCAACTTTTGAACACTTCCTTGGATTCTTCTATAATTAAAAAATTTCCTTATTATGAAGAGGGACCAAGTTGGTGACATAAAAGCCCCCTGCACTTCCTTCCTCCCACAGACACACAGAATCTACAGCCACACACAGAGCAATTTCCTCTGAGAGAAATCCAGAAACTAGCCGAGTGACTTCTGCACACTGAGTGAATGAGAAAAACCCTCACAGTGGGTAGGAAAGGCTGAGATACACTCTCATCAAAAACCTCACCCTCAACACAGCACCACACAGCTGGGAGCGAACCCCCAACTCCCAGCTTCTCCCTGAGGAGCAAAATGTTTGGACCCACATCTAAAAGTGCCCCACATTTGAAGGTTCTCACACCAGGGACAGGTCCCTAAAACACCTAGCTCTGAAAGCCAACAGGGCTTGTGTCCACGAGCCCCACAGGACTACAGCAAATGAAAAAGTAATTCCTAATAGAGGTGTGACTTCCTTTTGATAGTTAAGCTTTCATTTCTCTCTGAGCATTGCTCTGATCTCATGTTTTTTATTGCAGTAAAAAAGCACATCACATTATATTTGCCATCTTTATCATTTTTAAGTGGATATTTGGGTTGCTTCTACCTTTTGGTTGTTGTGAATAATACTGCAAACATGGGTGTGCAAATCTCTCTGAGATTCTGCTTTGAATTCTATTGTACATATACACAGATGTAAGATTGCCAGATCATATGGTAATTCTGTATTTAATTTTTTGAGGGACCATCTCAAAAAGTACTGTTTTCCATAGCAGCTGTACCATTTTACACTCCTACCAAAAATGCACAGTGTTCCAAATAATAGGATGCTGGCCATATCCTCGCCTACACTTGTTCATATGCTGTTCTTTTGATAGTGGCCATCCTAATGGGAGTAAGGTGATATCTCATTGTTTTTGATTTGCATTTCCCTCATGATTAGTAATGTTGAGCACCTTTTTCATATGCTTGTTGGTTATTTGTATATCTTCTTCAGAGAATTGTCTGTTCAAGACTTTTGCCCATTTAAAAATTCAGGTTATTTGTTTTTTGTTGTTGAGTTGCCAAAGTTGCTTTTAAGTGCTGGATATTAATCCCTAATCACATATAAGATTTCCAAATATTTTCTCCATTTCCACAGATTGCCTTTTCACTCTATGGATTGTTTCCCTTGATGTGCAAAAGCTTTGAAGTTTGTTGTAGGCCCATTAATCTAGTTTTGCTTTTTTTTGTCTATGCTTTGGGTGTCACATCCAATAAATCATTGCTAAATCCAATGTCCTGAAGTTTTCTCCCTATGTTTTCTTCTAGTTTTATAGTTTTAGCGATATGTGTAGGACTATAATCCACTTTGAGTCCGTTTTTGTATACGGTGTAAGGTAAGGGTCTAGCTAACTTCATTCTTTTGCATGTGGATATCCAGTTTTCTCAGTATCATTTGTTGAAGAGACTGTCCTTTACCCATGGGTAGTCTTGATACCTTTGTAGAAAAATCATTTGACAATGCAATCAGCCCTACATAATCGAAGGTATTGCATCTGTGGATTCAAGCAACTTGGGATCTCCTGGAGAGGTAGGCAACGGCTGTGGCTTACCCAAGGGACATAAAAGCTGGTGGTGGACATTCCGGGAGTGTTCATCTACATGAGCTTTCTTGGAGGTTGACATCTTGATTGGATCATTAGCACCAAGACCTAGCCCCACCAAACAGCCTATAGGCTTACAGGCTGGGAAGCTTCAGGCCAAACAAGATACTGGATGGGAACACAGCCCCATCCATCAGTAGAATTCCTGAGTCACAAACACCTCTAGACATGGCCTTGCCCACCAGAGATCCAGGACCAAGCTTCACCCAGCAGTGAGCAGGTACCGATTCTTCCTGCCAGGAAACTTGCATAAGCCTTTAGTCCAGCCTCATCCACCAGGGGGCAGATACCAGAAATAAGAAAACAACAATCCCAAACTCCCTATTGACCTCAGGATCAAGTTCTAACCCTTTGGCATGTCATATAAGGCCCTCTCCCTCCCACCTCCTACCTCTGGAGTCTCGGATGTGGGTACAGACCCCTTTCCCCCATGTCCTAGTTATAAAACCTTCTAGCAGCTGTCTAAACAGGCCAAGAACATTCATTCCATGTAATATCCACATCTCCACACTTTAGTTCATATGCTTCATATACCTCATTTTTTTGCTTTATTTATTTTTAAAATTTTTATTTATTTATTTACTTGCCTCATTTTCTTTAGCTCATTTACTGGGCAAGCACCTATTCACTGTTTAAAGATTAACTCAAACATAACCACCTCTAGCCTTTCTTTCCTCCTTATCCTGAACAAGTAGAAAGAAATCATTCTTTCCTCCTGTATGTCTACCCCCTCATATTTGCATCCTACCATCATTATCTTTCTGTATTTATTCATCTACATGTTTCTCTTTTCCATCATAGTATGAGTATCTTGAGGACAGGACCATATCTTATTAAGTACCTAGTATGACCTTAATAACATTTGTTGAGTAAATCAATATAAAATGACCACCAAATTATGTGAGCAATCATCTGATTTATAAAAAGATGTAACAAATTTTAAAATGACACAAAGTATCATTTTCAAAACAACATTAAAAAGTGAGTGTATTTAACCACACTCAGCTCATTACAGAGCAAATGAGTGAGTGGAATTCATGCTATAGCATGTTTAGTGAACTGGCAAAAGAGAAAGTTGGTCGAAGGAAGGCAGAGGAACTTTGTCTTTTAAGAATTAGAACCGAGGGGCTCCGTAATCATCTGGCATCCTCTCAATGTTGTACCTGATCAGGACAAAAAATTAACACTGGTAAGAACCCACCTAAAAACCCTCCCTGTACTGATTACTCTCACCTCCTGCTGCGAATTCCTTTTGTCACTGGGAACATTTTAAAGGGACATCATAATGAACGATTTACGGCAAAATGCTGACTGTATTATCTGTATTCTCGAAAGTCAGAAAGTTAACATGTTGGGGAGCCAGGCACTGAGTCCAGGTAAGTCCAACCCCCTCGCCCATATTCCTCCTATGTTGTGTTTGCCCCAGGCTGAAAAGCTGGACAATAATAGTCTGAGGACTGATACAGGAACATCTAAGAAGGATAAAAGCAGCTTTTGTGTTTTTTAAAGAAACTTCTAGTTTCCCAGATGAGGTGCTAATCACATAAACTAGGTTTTCAAAAAAAGATATTTCTGGCCAAAAAGATTGCCTTGATTTAAATCACTGCTTTGTATTTAAAGCCACACATCTATTTCTTCTAGTGATCTTATTGTAACATTGTGGATGCCTGCCTCATTCCTAAATCCCAGTTTTATCTTTTGCCCTTGTTCTTGTTATTCTGTCTCATTTCTTCAAATAGAACTATGCAAACATTTGATACAACAATCTTTTTCAAATTCTTCTATAACTTGACCTCATTTTTAATTAATATCAACTATATACTTTTTTCTTTTTTACATGGAGGTACTGGGGATTGAATCCAAGATCTCATGCACGCTAAGCACACAATCTACCACTGAGTTATACCTAACCCCTTCCCCGCCACCATATGAACTATATACTTTAAATCACTTCCCTAAGAGAAAGTTCTCACCTATGGTTAGAAATGTACATGATGGGAACTCCAGGGATCTTCCGGATTCTTCTTTTAAGGTCCCGGTCAACTGTGGCCACAATGTAACATTTGTGCTATAAAAGACACCGAGTGTTCACATAGAGCTCACTGAGTGATACTGGATAATGGTACAATCACTGGTTAATCTGAAGAACTATGCATTTTCACAGCAAATAGGAAAGGAAAGTCTATAACAATTTCTTAAGTAGCTACTATGATCTAGAAATTTTATTTATAAGACACAGTAAGTTGCCTGGGATGAATGTAGCTCTAAGAATCTTGAGAGGGAAAGATAGAAAAACCTATTTAAAAGCTGCAAATTGTTTTTTTGGCTCATAAGTGGAAGAGATTTTCACATCTGGGACAGACAATTTCTTGGTTTTGAAAATGCCCTAAGGGACTCGATGCAAAGGCAGAGTAAGCACCTTAGATCAGGTGGCACAGCAGGGATCTCTGGGGCCTGGGCCTACCCTGAGCCCTCCTAGTGGTGGAGGCAGGATACCTCCTTGGCCCTGAAGCCAGAATAGGAGAATCTCCAGGATAAGTCTGAGTCAAACAGCTCTGAAAGCACTAACATTAGCTGATGGGAACTAATTTGTATTGTACTCTACTTACATCGTACCCAAATCCCTCATTGAGTTTTTTTTTAAAATTTTATTCTTCTTCTTATTTTTAATGAAGGTACTGGGGACTGAACCCAGGACCTCATGCATGCTAAGCATGCACTCTACCACTGAGCTATACCCACCCCTACCTCGTTGAGTTTTGTAAAGATTGGTGTCAGCGGTGCTGTGGGAAATTAAGGGAAATGCTGGCCCCACACATGGGATGAACTGGCTAATGGGATGGCAATGTGGTCACCAGATGAAGATGATTATCCTAAGCAGAGAGAGGCTCTTATAAGGGCAATAAGCAGCAGTTCTTGTAGTGTTTGACAAGGAAGTCAGAAGAGAAGAATCAAAAACCTACTTATTCTAAGGTATATGTAAGACCGCACCCTGGAAGACTCAGATGTAACTGAGAAATACTTCTGGGTTAAGCATGGTGGAGAGGAACAGAATTCCTACACAGGAAGTAAATGGAAATAGAATTTTATTTTAGATTCACAGGGAGGTGCAATCTGATATATTATTTTGTCTATAATTTTTATAGAGAAGATTTGTGGAACAGAGATTCAGTAAATGCTCCATATTATACACCCAATAAATGCAGGTGCTAAGATTTGAAACCCTTGTCCTCCCCAAGTCCATTATCTTTCCATTATGATTATAGTATACATTTCAAATCCATTTTCTTAAGTAAACGAGGGCAACTGCACATCCCATGAAGGGATTCTACATAATTTCTTTTTACCGTTTATATTCCCAGATACTTACATTAACATTCAGGAAATAATAGTTTATCTTTTTTTTAAGCACAAAGTAAATATTAAAAAGTGATGATACCTGAGTTACCCTCTGTACTAAGCAGTCATCTGCATAAGTTCCTTTGTGTGTGCATGGTAATCGTTCAAATCTCGGATCCTTGGCGATCCTGTAGGGTTATAAAAGTGGATTAATGAAAACATCCAGGCAATTCGGTAACTTTACAAGTCTCAATCAGTTAAATAAGAGTAATGTGATCTATGCAGAGATTTTAAGGCACTCCTCTCCTCCTGAAGCTTATCTTCTAATTGAAAAGATAATTAGAGAAGGGTAGTAAAGCTTACTGACAGCTGGTGTGCCTTATGTCATGGACTCGTCACAAAACTCTGTATTATTTTACTTCCATTTTACAGATGAAGCAGCAGATTCAGAGAGATTGATTAATTTGTGCAAAGCCACACAGCTGGGATAAGCCAGGATTCAAAACCAAATCAATTTTAACCTAACCATTTCACTTTTAGGAAGTTGTCTTACACAAACGTACAAGAATATAGGCTCAAGGATGATCACTACAACACAGTTTATAACAGTGGAAAACTGGAGATAATTTGAATATCCGTCAACAAGATAAAAGTTAAATACATTTTGGTGCCCCTATCCTATTAAAAAAAATGAGGTAGAACTGTATGTATGTACCAACATGGAAGGACATGCAATAAATTGAATAAACAAAGCAAGTTTCATACACACACACACACGATACATGAGATATGATTCAATTAAGAAAATTAAAATCTCATTCTCTTTCTCCAGATTTCCATTTGTTCAAAAAAAGTTTTGGAAAAATATGTATTAACCCTTATCAGTTGTCATTCTTAGGGTAGGAGACTGGACAAAATGTACCATGGAGGGGGACTTTCACTTCTTACTATATGTATATATTTATATTGTTTACCATAAAAAAAATCAAACATGTACCATTTTCATGCAAATTTGAGAAAGAAAAAATACAAATCTGTGATTCCCAGAGTCATGCTCTTTCTATTACACAATGACAATGAGTCACAGAATGAATAATACAGGGCAGCATGTAGGTATCAAGTGCAACAAAAATACTCCTATTGCAGTAGTTCAGAACTAGGTCCATGTGGGCTGGGTATATTTAGAAAAAAATTACATGGAGATAAAATAAAATGAAGAATGATCCAAGCAAAGTGAAGGCAGGCACATTCCAAACAAGGCATCATCTACAAAATGGTTCAATGGTGTTCCGGGAAAAGTGAGCCCATGTTTCCGGCGGGGGAAAGAGTGTTAGTGCAGAAGAGAGTGTAAAAGGGTTGAAAGGCAGGTTGAGGATGGATTGGGAAGAGTTTCCAATCCAGGCTGAGAAGTATAAGCTCTGAGACATAAGTGATGGGAGACAATAAAGATTTCTCAGTGACAGAATAAGTAGCTGTGGTGAGAAGGATACACTAGAAGGAAGCCATGCTGGCTGCTGAGAAACTAGGCAGGCAATAGTGTAGGCCTTTGCTCTTTGGGTTATCTCTTTCACTCTTGAAATCACTGATCTCCTTCTATTAGCTCTCTCCCAGAAACTAACATGCTCTAGTATCTTCCCCATCTTAAAAAAGAAAAAAAAAATCCCTTTACTTGTTATTCCACCACCCAAACCCGCACCGTTAACATCCCATTTCTGCTTCTCTTCACAGCCAAACTTGGTGCTTCTAATTGGTGACTCTATCTTCTCCCCTCCTACTCTCTGTTTTTATTATTATTTTAAAAATAATTGCCTCCTTCCCCTTTTTATTTGAAATATTTCAAGTATACAAAAAATTATAAGGAATGATGAATACCTTGTACCCCCTATCTAGTTAAAGAAATGAAACATTACACATAAAAAAATGAAGCCCCTCCTCAATCCTAATCTCTTTTTACCTCCCCCCAAGTAACTATTACCCTAAATTTGGGATTTATCTGTCCCAGATACACTTCACTATGTATGTAAGATCACATTATATATACACCTGTAAAAAATGTAGTTTTAATTTGCATGTTTTTAAACTTTAGATAAACAGTATGCTCTACATATGCTCTTGTTTTGTTTCACATTGTTTTTGAGATTTATGCATATTGACACACATAGTTCTACTTCACTCATCGTCATTTCTGTGGAGTATTTTATTTGTGAACATTCCACAATTTACCCATTATCTTCCTAATGGATCTTTTGGCTGCCTGCAATTTTTTGCTACTATCCAGATAAGAAAATTCCAATATTTGTTTCCAGTACATGTATGTGAGCTTCTCTATGGCAGGCTTTTTTTTTTTACCAAAACCCACAGTATGAAATACATTTTCTTGCATACAGTAAGTACAAACATGTACATATACACATACAAATAAAAGTGAAAAAAGTTCTGTGACATAATACTCGAACTTTGCTACATCCAATGCATGCAAACTGTATATATAGTTTATTCTGTTTTATTAATAAAAGAAGCTGGATGTGACCCATTAAACTGATGTCATATCCTATAGATTCACCATCTCCAGGTTGAAAGATACAGTGTCATAAGAGTGTAGACAACCTCATTTTCACCAGATATTATCAAATTACTCTCCAAGGTGACTGCCCAATTTACATCCTTAGCAGTTGAGTATGAGAATTCCCATTGCTCCACAGTCTCCATTATTGTTGGCACTGTCAAGCAGACTTTATTTCTTGCCAATCTGCCGTTTCTGAAATGATATACTATTGTGGATTTTGTCTTCTTTTTATGGATTTGTAGTTTTTTACGTATCTTGAAAATATACCCTTTGTTCACTATGTGTTATTAATATCTTCCCAATCTCTACAGCTTTTCACTTTGTTTTTGCTGTCTTTTGTTATACAGAAGTATACATTTTCAGTATAGACAAATTTATTAGTTTTCCATTATGGTTTGGCCTTAAGAAATTCCTGCCCTCCCCCAAATTACTAAGATAGTCTCTATGTTTTCTATACAGGTTCAGACAATCTACCTGGAATTAATTTTTTGTGAAAGAAGTGAATAAGGATTAATTTTATTTCTTTCCCCAGGAATAATCAATATTTTCATAATTTATCACTTTCCCACTGTTTTCTTTTGCCTTAAAATTAGCTTTATTAGGCATAAATAAATATAATAAAATGTACTGATTATAAATGTAAAATTTGATGAGTTTTGACAAATTTATTTGTCCATGTCACTACTTCCACAACCAATATAGAACACTTCTGTCACTACAAAAGGTTCCCTTCATCCCTTTACAGTTAATTTCCTTCTTCCATCCTCAGATCCAGGCAACCATTGATCAGTATTCTATTATTATAGTTTTGCCTTTTCTTGAATTTCCTATAAATGGAATCACATTTCTGGTACCTAAAGGCCATCCCCCAACACACAAATCCACTGGCATATGTTGGACTTTGAAAGGGTCTTTTACCTACGTGTGATTTTGTAATATCATGCACTGATCATTTGGAAAATATTGATTCACTGAGTTACACAGCTATTTCAAATATTGACACATTTCATTATACAACATAAAAATATCATACGCATTGATACCATTACTGTTTTCAACAGAAAGGTCTTTAATATTGGGAATGTGATAAGCTTGGAATTTTCCAACACTCTAATTTTTCACTTGAAAATTCTGTTTTTATCCATCGTAAGTCATATAGTAAGTTGTTTTCCTTTAAGTGATAGGCTCGCTGCATTAATGTTAGAGAAAATATCTGCTAAATACCAAAGTCTGAAAAAGTCAGTGTTTGTCAGTTGTTCTTCACATAAAAATGGTATTTCATGAAAAAGCAGCTGGTTCAGCTCACGACTCAAATAGCACACAAATGCTTTTCATTGTAACCACTTTAATCCTTTGGTATGCAGCAGAGGTGCTTTCTTCCCCTTCTTCCAGTTTTATTGAGATATAATTAGCATACAGCACAGTGTAAGTTTAAAGTGTACAGCATAATGATTTGACTAACACACCTCATGAAATGATTCCCACAATAGGGTTAGAGAGCAACCACCAGCAGAAATGCTTTATGTGTCCTTCACTTTTCACCACAAGGAACACTGATATGTATGTACTCCAGGGTTGAGATTTAACAGTTAACAAATTTTACTGCTCCATCAAGGATATTCTTAAGTGACTAGTATATATATATATATATATATTATTTTTTTTTTAACTGCCAGGGGTGGTAGTGAAGAATATAAAGACCACTAACATTACTTGGGCTCACTGCCTTGATTTATACCAAGGCACTGGCATTTTTGCCATCAGTGCAAGTGTCAGCACAGTGACAAAGGCAATATCTTGCTATTATTATGAAAACAGTTTTGCAAAGTCCCTGCAAAGGTCCTCCTGGCGGGGAAGGGGTGAGGAGGTCCATGAACCACACTTCAAGAATGACTACAGTAAACTCAAAGACACTTTCTGGAATAAACTCGAAACTTAGAATGTGAATCTTTAAAGTGTGGGATTCCAAAGAAGATACTACATAACAAACAAAAAGATACTTTCTTATTGAAAAATCTCAAGGAACTTAAAAGGAGGCCCATAAGACCAATATGACTAAGTAATTTAGTTCAAAAGGCTTCAGCTTGGAAATCTCTAACCTTTAAATGTTTGCTTCCTTAATCATAAAAAGTTAACAAGCTATGTATGATTTTTATCTAAACTAACCAGCCAAGAAACATTTGGATGGCAAACAGATGAAGGAGGGTCAAAAGAATCTTCAGTACACCAATCTAGGACAAATCTAAACCCACTCCTTCCTACCTTAGAGCCACTCGATACTTCTGCCCCAACTTCTCAATTTCAGCCATTACACAGTCAGTTATGCAAGGGATACCTGCCAGGAAAAGAAATATATTAGTAACAGAATTTGTAGAGGAACTGATTTTACTCTCTCTGAATTATATTCTGTTGAGAGTCTTTAAAAGACTCATGAGACTGCTGGAATAACAGAAAAAAAGCACAGTGCAATAACTGATAAGAGCTAGAGGAGAATAAAATCCTTATTTATAAAGAAACTAGGGGAGAGAAGCAAGATGGCAGAGTAGAAGGATGCCTGTAGCTCACCTCACCCTCTCCCACAAATACACCAAAACTCACATATATAGACGTACTCAGCCAACCAGAGCACCTGCGGAACTCTGATGGAACATCACCTTCTTCGAAAGACAAAGACGCCAAAACTCTGGTAGCAGAAAAGGAAAAAAGAAAGAAGAAAAAGCAAAACAGTGCGGGACCTATCCCGCGGAGAGGGAGCGGCAAAGGAGGACTGGCGCTTGTTCGCTGGGTCTCCCCTCTCCAACAGAGAGACCAGCTGGACGGCGGGGGAGCCTCCGAGGCTCAGATCTGCCCAGAGCACCTCTTGACCGACAGAACTGAGTTAAACAGGCACAAAGGGTCCCCACGACACCCAGCCTGAGACGTGAGCCAGCAGCTGGGGGCCGGGACAGGCTGCCTGAGCCGGGTGGAGGACTGGGACGGCTGCACTGAGGCAGCCCCAGGGGAATGCAGGGTGCTGCGCGCCATGGCTGGGAGGGGATACGGAGCAGAACAACCTCAGTCCCCCATAAATTGCGAAAAAAGCAAAGCAACACAGCTGGTGTGCCCTGGGGGGAGGGGCGCTGTAGCCTTTGTCTCCTCAGACCTGCGCCGCCATCTCTAGCACATCTCACGAGAAGAGAGGCAGGGCTCAGCCACAGCCGCCATATCCTCCTGTGCTGGAAGGGGACACGATCTGCCCATCTGCCTTGCCTGAGCACAGCGGCATTGGGAGGGAGAGCGACCTGCCCGCCCACAGGGTAAGAGCTCAGCTCCTGACCCAGTGTTAGGAAGGGACACGATCTGCTAGCCGACAGCCACTGGAAGCAGTATAGACGAGGGCGCCAACAGAAGGCCTCTGGAAACAGCAAGCTGAGTTCGCGAAACAGGGAGGAGACACAAAGACCTCTCGATAAAATCATTAAGAGCACACCGGCTCCAGGATAACTAGATAACTGATACTCCTTAAGCCAGTGTCAGAGAGATATGAGCAATATGAAGAAGCAGAGGAACCACTCCCAATTAAAAGATCAAGAGAAATTCCCTGAAAGCATGATCAAGGAAATAGATATTGATGGCCTACTCGATCAAAATTTCAAAAAAGGAGTGATCAAAGTACTGAAGGAACTAAAAGAACCAAGTAGAATTAGTAAACTCATTTGCTGAGATGAGAGCTGACCTAAATGCTCTACAAAGCAGGCTAGATAATGCAGAGGAATGAAAAGTGACCTAGAAGACAGGACAACAGAAAGCACCCAATCAGAACAGCTGAGAGAAAAACAAATAAAAAACAATGAAAACAATGTAAGGGACCTATGGGATAATATAAAGCATGCCAATCTATGCATAATAGGGGTTCCAGAAGGGGAAGAAAGAACAATGGGGATTGAAAAGGTATTTGAAGAAATCATGACTGAAAACTTCCCAAACCTAAAGGAATCAGATATCCAAGTACCGGAGGCTCAGAGGGTCCCAAACAGGAAGAACCCAAACAGACGCACACCAAGACATATCATAATCAAGATGGCCAGAGTCA